CTATATTTATATTTTCGATTCTCGGCATAAAACTTTAATCATTTACTTTCGTTTTGCATCGATCGTGAAACAAAATGTGCATTTGCTTTTGGTTTTGTTCCTATATTCAAAATATGAATATAGCTCTGTATGAATTTTGTTCCCTGAAGCAAAACTAATCTGTTTTTTACACGTTTAAGCCGCGAGTTTTGTTTTGCGTGCCATCTCTGTTTTGGAGCTTGTCTGTTCTTTTTTTTTGTATATATCCCAGCTATCAAAACTCGCTGCAGAGACGCTGCGTCAGTTGACAGCTAAGTTTTTTACAAAAGAATTGAGCACAATTTTAATTATATCACATTTCCTTTATTTAAATACTTTCAAATGCTTTGATTTTCTTGTATCCAATAATCTATTTGCTTGTTAAAAAAATAGTTACACAAACAATTTCAATTTCTTTGAAGGTGTATGATTTATTTTGTCCACTACTGTATATGGCAGAGATATCTTAATTTGCTACATATTTGACAGCTTCCAGGATTACAAAATTATTATGTTTTTAAAGAAAAATTAAAAAAATGGAGTTTTACATAGCAAATAATTTATTGCATGTAATTTCCCCCTCATATCATCACGAGAGAACCAAGTCTTGATATTTGACTGAATATTAATTAAAATTTATTAAGAAATTTCTAACAGTGTATTTCAGGAATTATTTTATACTTCTATATATATGGCAGAGATATCTCAATTTGCTACATATTTGACAGCTTCCAGGATTACAAAATTATTATGTTTTTAAAGAAAAACTAAAAAAATGGAGTTTTACATAGCAAATAATTTATTGCGTGTAATTTCCCCCTCATATCATCACGAGAGAACCAAGTCTTGATATTTGACTGAATACAATACGTATCCAATTCTACAATCTATACACACCAATTAAATTTTCAATTTTGAAACGTCATTTGGCTGATATTTTTCACAATAAATTTTTCATAGTACTTTAAGATGCTCATCAACGTAGATATATCATTAAATTATTTGTAAATTTAATTTATTACTATTCCAGTTTTTTAATTAAGATTGCGTTTTAAGATAGAAAATTTAATTGGCGCGCAGTTCGAAGATACAAGTTCATTCTAACATATTATTACACACAAAGATCAGGCTCAGATTAAAATTTCTCTTCTTAAAAACAATAAGTTATCTTAAATTTAATAAACTAATCCATAGAAGCGTGTAATATCTTAAGACATTAAAATGGTCTTGAAAAATCAAAACAAATTATAAATATTGAATACTGTATAAAGGCTCAAGATTAAATAAACAAAAATTTCGAAGTCGTAAATATATTAGGTTCAAAATACGAGAAGTAACGATAAAAGTAACTATAAAATTCGTTATTGTTACCCAAAAAAGGATTATAGTAATGCAGTTACCAATAAGCTACCAAAAAAGTAACCGTAACTTTGTTACAAGTAACGAATTACTTCCATTCCCTGGTTTTAGGGATTTGAAAAATATTTTATACAATAGTTTGAGATATCTTTCAGATATCTGATGGAGATGTCTTAGAATTTAAAGTCACAATATTTGCCAGATTTGATATAATTCAGATTTGATACATTTCTAATTACAATGATACTACATTTAGTATTTGTTACAGAAAAGACAACAAATTTGGTATAGTTTCAACATCTGGTGTACAATTTCTGATATCAAAATATTTAAAAAATTTAACAATGTTTAATCTTAATACAAATTAAAGCAATCAATCACAGGAAAATATTATCACATATGTATATTTTGCCTATTTTATCGACTATTTGATTCTATTTTACAGTTGCAGAAATTCTGAATTATTTCATCAAACGATTGATTAAAAATTTTAATGGTTCCGCATATCGTTAACAAATATTTTTGTGAAGAAAAAGAAAAGAGAGAGAAATAATTATATATTTTTATTATGTGTATATAATATGAATTGTTGATACACTTTTTTTTCAATCTACTTTATTTTTATCGTTTAATTGGTACAAAATATTTTTTAGTTCTGGCAACACTGATACTTAAAGATACTTTGAAGATATCTTGTAGAAATCTAACAGATTTCAACTATAAGTGCACTTATAGTTCTATAAAAGACGTCTTTTAGATATCTAAAAAATGTCTTTGAGATATCGTGAAAACATCTTTTGCATGTCCTAAAAATATTTTCCAGACATTTTAAAAATATTTTTAAGAATATCTTAAAAAAAATCTATATTTTGAAAAAATAAATAATAAAATAGCATGACAATGTTAAATTCATTGTGCAATCGGCAATGCTTGATATGGACTGCAAGGAGATTACGGGGAAGAGAATTGGATGAAGAAAGACAGACTTATTTTCTATCTTCGTGTATTTGAGCTTACCAATTAATGTACAAAGTGCACGGCCGTTCGCGATCTACCACCGCGGCTCAATTATATGTTAGACCATCCTGTGACTTATGACCTATCTCGATGCGTGCGATAGCAACAGCGATGCAACGATTGAAAAAGTTAATCAGAGCGTGAGCGAAGAACTTCCAGCGCAAAACTGAGTGTTGGTATCAGAAAGAATTCGCGTTCGTGTCTCACAAAAAACTTCTATTGAATGTGGCGGACGGATCTGTGCAACGCTCGCTTTTGCTACTCCGACCTTCTAGAAGATTCGTGACGGTTATGATTATATCCTTGTGCTTCATAATGTAATGTGAAATAATAATAGTGAATTTTCTAGTAGGTCGGAAGTCAATTTGATGGTTTCGGCGTTAATATACGCTCATCTTACTTCGAATCTCACAGTGAGCCGTTAGTAAAGCGTTTAGTTTGCGCTGCAAACAGCAACTTTTAATTAATGAACATAACATTAGCACATGCTATGTTTCTTTGATAGAGAGAGAAATCATTTTACTTTAAATGCATATTCTACTCGAGTCTGTTGCGAAAAGGCGAACGAAGTCGTTGTATGCGTATATTCGATAAAATCCGTTTTAAGAAATTTTTATCTTTACATTACAGACAGCGTATGGAATCTAAACGCCTTGTTTTGAAAATTTAATTTCGGTCCAAATTCTTCCTTGGTTCCGTAAAGCATATATATTGCACATAATGTATTATTTTATCCTTGTCGTTTATCAAACGTTAAACAAATCTAAAGTGACAAATCATGCATATCATGCGATTTACGGAATGCAACGTCCAGTTGCATTTTATATTTAGAATCGATACTAAAAACTATAATTTTAAAATTTTGGTAAAAACCGTTTTTTCCCCATTTTTCCACTAATTTTCTTGGTTCCTTTCCCAAAGATAGAAAAATTCGTTGGAAAAATTTGTGTGTTAGTAAGATTTGCCATGTTTACTTCTTTCCGAAAAAAAAAAATTTAGTTTTCTTTCTACAATTTTTGAAAAAAGCAGCTTTTTTAAAATTACAGAATCAACAGGCTATATATTAAAGACAGAGTTGTTTGATTATTGTTGTATTTTACGTTCGGATGGTGACATTAAGGCTAATTCTTCGACATTGGATTCGGAATCATTTTGTCGTGAATTCGAATACAAAAGATCTCCGTGATTCAGATTTTTCATTTCCGTCGCTTTTTTCACAGTAATATTGATCCGATCTTCAGAATTTTTACTAGATAAAGCATCGTCTGAAAAAACATTTATCATTAGATTACATTCCAATTATAATTTTGTGATAATTACCACTATAGCTCTTAATTATCTCAATATTAAACAACACATTTCGTATATAAGTACAATAATAAATAATACATACTGTAAAGAACATCTGCGATGCTCTCTTCTTTTTCGATCAAACGAATGTATTTGTTGTCAGCGAGAATGTTAAAACTTTTCACGACATCGGAATTAAGATGCAATAGCCAGAATTGATTTCTCTCGCTATTCAATCTTTTCGATAACGTTTCGATACCCTGTCGTAGAAATTCACATACAGTTTGAATAGCAGTATCATTTACGGATCAATAAAAATAAATCATTCATCGATTTTATTTGGCGAATGTTATCCGATACCTTGATTGAAGTGTAATCGAGACTATTGAATATTTTGCAATTCATGATCAACGGAACGTCGTTTCCAGCTAAACTCATGACTTTCTCGCTGAAGGAAGCTACTGCGGGATAATAGAGACAGTTTTCGGGTTTTAGCATCATATATCTATTTCCTAGACGAGTCTAAAAAGAATATATATATATATATATATAATTTTAATA